GAAGCTTATTCCCACTTCTATCCATAGCCTGCCACCCCTCTCCCATCTTATCAGCAACCTACTTGTACTGTGACAGAGACCCTCTTCTCCCCTTGACGGTTTCTTCCGTCTTTCAACCACACCATAGAATTTATAATTAAGATACTACTTTTTTAAAAAGCAAGGCACCAATGCTTATAGACCCAAGGGAAACGCTGTCCTGCTGTCTATTTCAGGTGTAGTTTACAGTGCTGCTTGAGGTGTATCTTGTTTTGGAAGCACTTCCCACACTCAGTACACCTAAAGGGTTTTTCTCCTGTGTGGACTTGCTGGTGTCTGTTGGTGTGAGCACTCTGTTTGAAGCACTTCCCACACTGGGGACACATATAGGGCTTCTCACCCGTGTGGGTTCGCTGGTGCTGGGCAAGCGTTGAGAGATCACTGAAGCCTTTTCCACATTGCACACATTCAAATGGCCTCTCACCAGTGTAGACTCTCTGGTGATTTCTAAGGTGAGAGTTTTGGCTGAAGCTTTTCCTACATTTGAGACAAGGGTAGGGCCTTTCTCCTGTGTGCATTCTTCTGTGGGAGATAAGGTGGGAGCTCACCCTGAAGTTTTTCCCACACTCACCACATATGAAGGGCTTCTCACCTGTGTGGGTTCTCTGGTGTTTAATTAAATCAGAGCACCACCTGAAGCCCTTGTTACATTTGGGACATTTGTGGGGTTTCTCTGTCTGAGATGTCTCACGCTGCTGAAGATTTGAGGTCTGACTGACAATTTCCTCACACTCACTGTATCCAGAGTGATTGTCTCCTATAGCATCTTCTGGGTGGAGAAGGATGCCATGGAGGCCCTCAAGGGCATTTTCTAGATGAATGCTGTCATCTTGTCTCTCCCCAATGAGGTCCCTCCAGTGCATTTCCAACACATGCTGGCTCTCAGAGGCCTCTGCCTTGCTACATCTCTGGAAAGCATTATCTTCAAATGCTTCCAGTAATGACTCATATTGTTTCATGTTCTCGGGATCATCTGCCAGGGGACCATCACCTTCATTCCCACTATTGCCTTCATCATCTTAATGAAAGAGAAGCCAACATGAATGTTCAGCAAGAAAGCAAGATAAGGAAAAGGACTTAGAGACTGCGAGCCAATCCTCGTTTAAGGTTCGACTCTAAGAGCAACAGCCCTTCTTCACCCAGGGATTCAGGACTGTATCCATCCTTAGTCCCTGACGACTAATGATGACTTGGACTTGGCTGTAAACTCAACACGAAGTGGCTTTACTGCGTTTACATTACGGAGGTACTGAATTAATTTGGTGTACTCCTCACCTTTGGAGATGTCAGTGAGGAGATCCCTTCCTGCGATCTCCTTGAAAATGGCCACGCACAGCTCCTTCTCTCCTCCCATCTGGGGACCACCTGTGAACAGGCCCTGAGCAAGACTGCAGAGCAGCAGTCATCACCACTTGAGCCATCACTCCCTCAGGAGGATACTCCACAGGCTGCCCCAGGTAACCGCCTTTTAGCACAATCACTACTCCGTCCCTCAGCCCACTGCCTGGTAAATTTGAGCTGAGCAGCCCCTCCGTGGCAGACGCAGTCCCGGTGTTCACCAGGGGCCTCGGCCGCGGAGGATGGAGGGCAGGGAGAGGGACCCTTCTTCCCGGCACCCAAACGGGGAAAAACCTGTCCCACGGCTGCGGGGTGGGAGAACGGCCCGAGGGGCACCGGCCTCCTCGGCGCTCCCCTCCCCTCCAGCGCTGACTCGGCGGGGAAGCTGTTTGGGAGAAGCCCCGACCTCAGGCCCGG